CGGCGCCGCCCGCCCGCCCCCCCCCCCCCCCCAGCCACTCCATCTGGACTCAACCCGGAGCCGAAAGCGCCGCTTACAACCCTGGATCTTCTCACCCTCCGGTGTCAGCTCTGTTCTCCTTCTCCACCAGCACCCCCATCCCCGCTACCTCTTCCCGGGAAGCCGCGGCGGCTTACAGCAGCTCCTTGAACCTTTCTGCTAACGGGAGGGAGCAGTACACCAGGGGGTTCGGCGGTTCCTATTCCAGCCCTTACCCGGCTTATATGAGCCCCGAAATGGCCACGACTTGGACTTCTTCGCCCTTCGACAGCCCCATGCTGCACAACCTGCAGAGCCGAGGGACGCCCGCAGCCGCCCGGCACGCCAACATAGGTGAGCTCCGTCAGGGTTGGGGGGAGAAGGGAAGGAGGGTTTCCCCCCCAAATTTTTTTTTCTACCCTTCTTTGAGTAGGGCGAGGAGGCGCGAAGGGCAAGGGGGAGAAATTCGCTATGTTCGGGATGGGGCTGCCGGAGTCGCCTCTCTGGTTGCAAAACATTGGGGTCCCCGCGGTGCTCTGGTTGCTCCCCCCCTCCTCGTACTTCCTCTGCAAAATCATGGTTTCAAAAGATCCTCAAGGACCACAATTTCAAAAAAAAATATATATATAATTTAAGTTAGGCCTGGAGCGGGCAAGGAATGATCTGCCAAGTTCCCGCGTAAGGGCCTGCTGGCTCCACATCTCCACGGGGATTTCGGGGCCGCGATGGGGACGACCGCGGTTGTGCAGGACCACGATGCTCCGTGGGTGTGCAGGCAGCCCCTTCCCAGACTTGCTTTAGGTGTAAAATGAGGGCAATTGGTTCGGAAAAGGAGGAAATCAAAGTTTGGGCCGTGAATCCCAGATTTTCCGTTTGGACTGGTTTATGTTCTGTATTTATTTATTTATTAATTTATTTTTGGAAGGGTCGGTGAGGTTAGAAAAAGGGAAAGCAAGAAGGAAAATTGGCGCCGAGGGGGTAGAGACGATGGAGAAGGAGAAAAAGAAATGCGTTCCCATTTATTATCATGCTTTTTGGGGGGGGACTCACAGGCACATCTGAACGATCCAGCCCCGTATTTCAGTGCCCCAAAAAAATCTCAGCCCTGATCTCTTGTGCTGATCCCTATCCCGGAGCCTTTCATTTCATTAAGCCCCCTGGCTCCTCCATCCAGAAATCAGCCCAAATGGCTTAAAATATTACTTTTTTTGTTTTGTTTTATAAGGCAGAAGAGGGAGAAAGGGGGAGAGAAATGTGGGGCACATCTCAGCATCGCGGTTCCATAAACCCTTTTTTCCTCCTCACTTTGTCTCCACGGAGGTATTTCTGTCGGCTTCGGGGTCGGGCGTTAACAAAGAAAACGACTCAAATTTGGCTGCAGATGGGTTTTAAGCTTGCGTTCTTTCACCTGAATTTTGGAGGGTAATTTTTCCACCGTGTCTGGCAAGATTTGTTTTATCTTTAGCTTTATTTTAAGATGTTGAAGGAAGGAAAGTTGAGCGCCGGTGAAGGCTTGGCCTTGCCAATGCCTTCTGCTTTTCTTCAGGCATTATGAAATCGCTCAGAGTGGGGAACAGATTATCTTCAAGGAGAAAGTTTTGGCAAACCAGGCAATGTTTTTGGGGAGCCACAAGAAGGTAGAAAGTATAGGGGAAAAAAAAGCAGGATGACTCAAATAATTAAATAATAATCGAACATTATCAACAAGGACATACGCACGTTTGTATTTGACCGCCGTGCCGTCTCTTCCTTGGGGAAAAAAAAATACCACCTTTTTGCAGTGGTCTCTTAATAAATATCGCTTAAACCCAAAATAATGCAAATGAAGAAGTGCAGTTGCAAAAATTCCCGGCAGCTTTTAAGGTGCCAGAGCTTGAGAGGAGTGATTTTGGCTTTTCAAGCCCCGCGTTAAGCGGCAGTTTGCAGGTTGCAGCCTGTCTTTTGGTGGCAAAAAGTGCTTTTTATCCGGGCTCTTAAATAGCATGGGGAAGCCGGGATGAGTTGAGCTAGTCCCGACAATGTTAGCGGTCGATAACGAAGGAGGAAGGAGATGGGACCCCCCCCCTCCCTTCCATCGCCGGGTCCTCATTCGGGTGTTGGATTCCTGGCGTCGCCTCCGGCACCGTGGCAAAAAAACCCGGGGGATTTATTAGCGTGGGTCTGATTACGCCTCTGCCTCGGATGTGGAAACAGCTTTTGGGTTTAAATAAAAGATAATTGGGTTTGGTAAAAAAAAAAAAAAAAAAAACAAACCCAAAAAATTGGCTGAAAGCTGGGCAGTTTTAAATTTGGGATTAAAATGGATTTTTTTTTGAGGGTAGCTCCCCCGGTAAGTAGTTTAAGGTCCAGATCTGCTCCTTCCCCTCTTCTCCCAGAGTCGGGACACAGCCGCTGCCGAGCTGCTCTTAGCCCGCTTCCTCCTCCGGAGGGATGCTTCGCGCAGGCTGTGGGTGTCGAGCGGGGTCTCACGCAGCACGTAAAGGCTGGTGGTTTCTGAGTGGGGCGAAGGGTTGGTTTTTTGGTTGTTTTTTTTAATAAGAGAGGGTGACAAGCTCTGCTGGGCTGAAAAACTGAAGGCACCAAAAGATTTCGTGGGAGGGAAACGCAATGGTGGATGGCAATCCAGCACAGACCCGCTTTAATAACACATCCCAGCCCGGCGCAGCATCCGAGCAGTCCCTGGCACGCCGGAGCCCACGCTCCTTCCTTTGCCTCTCCTGAGGACTAAAGATATCTTTATTCTCCACACGAGGAGGAATATCAAGGTGGAAACGCCATCCCTCGCGCGAGGCTGTATTAAATCCAGTGATTTTTTGCAGCGCTCTCATTTCCCTCCTGTGATTTCCCTCCCTGGAGAACCGTCACCTTTGAATAGTGCTAATTGCAGAGCACCCCTGGGATCATTAGAATATTAATTATAATTTTTTAATAACGAAGACCAAGTCTGTGCAGGTGTAGCTGGATCGGCAGACACAGATACACAGTCTATGTAATTGGGCATAGCATTTTTTTTCCCCCGCTGTAAAGCAATGCACCGGGGAAAGAAATTCAGTGAAACTATACACAAAGGTGACAGAAAATGAGGAAAAAAAAAAAAAAGATGAAAGATGATCTTTATTTCTACTAAAAGAAATAAAGAACTTACTGCTTTTTTCTAATAAGAGGAATTTTGGTCTGGGTTAAAGCCTGCCAATGCGGCTCTGTGGTACGAAGTGGGAAGGATGGGTGCACACATCCCATGGGCCTTTTTGAAAAACTTTCCCTGGTGTGAGTTTAAAATGCCAAATTTGGGCTTTTCAGGGTAAGTTTTCCGAACGGTTTCATTAGCCACCCCCGAAAAGGGAAGATCAGACCCTGCGGTGGAGGCCATGAACTTGCCCCAGGCATCGCCTGGGATGGGGTTACAGTGAATTCCCGACTTAATGAGGCATGAAAAGGACCGGCTGCAACCTCCCCTTTCAGGAGAATTCCCCGCCAGAGCCAAAATCCTCTTGAAATCTGTCCCCAAATTAGCACGGACGGGCAGCTTGCCCCTTTCCCCTTCCCCGGGCAGAGAGGAGCGGGGATTGAGGGCGACGCGGGAGCCCGAGCGCATCGACCCCGCTGCCGCTTGCCGCCTCCTGGATGTTTCCAGGCTGGGGATGGAGGGTCGCATCCTGGTTTGACATCCCCACCCCCTACAATTTGGCTTTTTGCAAAAATCGGCGTGTTTTTAGGGTTTGGTGGGTTTTTTTGGTTTTTGTTTTTTGGGGTTTTTTTTGCTGTGGCACGGAGGAGGTTGATGTGGTTGGGAGCAAATTTGGGGCGAGGGGCTGGGGGCATTTCTGGGGGGGCTGCTTTGCATTTTGTTTTGACTGAGTCCAAATCGGGGTCCCCTGAACAGGCACCGTTCGCACACAGCAGCAGCATCTGGGAAGATCAAAGCCCCGAGCAGGCGCTGGGCTGGAAAAAGTCTTCTCTACTGCTGGTGGGGGAGAGAGATTGTGAACCAGATCTTAAGCTTTCCCATAGGGATGCTAAGAGATTTGCCCTGTAGCATCCCCGGGGCCAGGCCGGCATTTCCAGTGACTCATTGGCGTTTGTTACAACCCTCTACCCTACAAGCAGCCCCTGACCTTCCCCAGGCGCCTAAGGAAAAGGTGGCTGCTCCCCGTGGGGCAGCAGGCGATGGGGGGAGCCCAGCATGGCGGCTGTCATGCCCTTGGAGGGATGGGGCTGTAGGATGGAGGGATGGGATCGAAGGATGGAGAAATGGGACCTTAGGATGGAGAGATGGGACCATAGGATGGAGGGATGGGGCCACAGGATGGAGGGACGGGGCTGTAGGTTGGAGGGATGGGAGCATAGGATGGAGGGATAATGCCATAGGATGGAGGGATGGGGCTGTAGGACAAAGGGATGGGGTCATAAGATGGCGGGATGGGAGCATAGGATGGAGGGATGGGGCCGTAGGATGGAGGGATGGGACTGTAGGATGGAGGGATGGGACCTTAGGATGGAGGGATGGGACCTTAGGATGGAGGGATGGGGTCATAAGGTGGAGGAATGGGGCTGTAGGATGGAGAGATGAGACCTTAGGATGGAAGGATGGGGCCATAGGATAAAGGAATGGGACCTTAGGGTGGAGGGATGGGACCGGAGGACGTGTCTGCATTTTGTGTGGGACGTTGCATCCCCCATTTTGCAAGCGGTTGCGTTTCTCACCTCGGCTCCGCTGGTGGGGAAGGTTGGCCCAGGGCTTTGTTCCCCCCCTGCGGGTTTCAAGCCGCCGTCTGCTCTCCTGCCTAATTTAATTGTCACCCGTCAGTCTGAGATTTGGGATGAAACCCACAGAATGAGGGGATGCACGATCAAGCTCAGGCACGCAAATGATTATTCCCCCCTCAAAATCCCCAAACAGCACATTTCAAACTGTAAATAAAGCAACAATAAGAAAAATATCCCCAAACATGGGCACTATATCAGCCTTATAAATAATACAGTTCCTTCATTGAAAACTGCGCTTTATTACTGAATACGAATGTGTATTTGTATTGCAGTGTAGTATATAATACACTATAAATGCCTGTGAATTTTTGTCAAGCAGCAAAATTTAATGCAGTGGATAGTGGCCGTGAATCTAAGACAGGATTAATTATTTTTCTCCTCCATACATGCACTCACGTGCGTGTCTTTGTCTCTGTAGCAATAAGAGTGATTTATTTTTATTTTTTTTTAAGAGACAGCCTGTATTTGGCTCTTTCTGTATTTATTCCCATCAGTCTGAGGAAAAACAGGCGAAATCCTTGGAGGTGAGGCTTTATGTGGTGTTTCCCAAAGGAAATCGGACCCGATCCTGCTGCCTCCGTGCTCCT